TTTTTTTAAAAAAATCTCTATAATGGAGCACCCACAAACTCCAGGAGCTAAGCTGTTATATTAATTGTTCTCATTATTAGAAATGTCTCATTTCTAGGTTGGATTGTTGGTTGCATAGCCAGATATTAAGAATGGATTTGACATTTTTGCCCACTTATTGAGTCTTTCCCAAGGACAGGCAGATGCTGTTGTTCAATAATATTAAAGTTATAATGGTGATGGTGATGATAACGACGACTGGTTTTTCAGGCCATACAATGAATTTTTCATTTGGTCTATTTAAATTGGGCCTGCAGAACATGAGGCCTGCCACCAGACTTGTATGGCCTAGTGACTCTTTGAAAACTTATTGAATTTGCTGCTGCTAAATGTTGCCACTGCCTAGAAGATCCAATGTCAATCTAGGTCAGTGTTTCTCACCCTTGGCGACTTTAAATCCTGTGGACTTCAACTTCCAGAATCCCCCAGCCAGCATAGCTGGCTGGGGAATTCTGGGAGTTGAAGTCCACAGGACTTAAAGTCGCCAAGGTTGAGAAACACTGGTCTAGGTTTTCACAGACAACTCTGACCCCAAATAGACACTCTCCAATACTTCTAAGGCTCCTTAATATCACTCCTGCTGCACCACCAGCCACTAAGCAGTTGGCTCATACCAGTTTTGTGACCTACAATGATCTTTAAGGTATTGATTTGACTTTTTGTGCATGCACGGAATCAACAAAGACATAGGTGATGACTGGATTTTAAAGAAAAGTAGCTTTAAAAAATATTTCTCAGTTCTCACTTTTTTGTGGAATACAGCCCTTTCTTTGGTCTTTCTCTGCCTTTCAACAAATATGTGGGTTCATGTAGAGCTTTCCCTTTTGTTATCACTCTGTGGGGGAAAAGACTGCAATTCTCTTGGGGAACTTATGAAGCTATTTTATACCAAGAGCACTGCCTGCTCTGAAACTAGGTTTCTAATGGGCGGAGGAGTTTTTCCTCCCCTAATCAGTTTAACAAAAAGCACCTCACCCTATCAATATTTCTAATGAAAGAAAATATATACAAGATCCATTATATTTTGCACTATAATATATGATGTGAGGCCCATCCAAGGAACTGCTACACTCACCAGATCCAAAATTTCTTGTGCTCTGTTTGGCAATTGTTTTTGGAAATCCTCCTTTGTTATTGCTGCCATCAGAGAAATAACAGCAGTATTTGCATACAAATAAAACTGGTCATTGCTGATCAAGGCAGAATCAGTGAAATTATTATTTTATATTTACACTGTTCTTATTTGAGCCCAGGGTACTTTAGAAATATTTGGGGGGAGGAGGTGAGTGATATACACTACCCATTAATATTTGTATGTGATATCATGAGGCAAGTGTGGAAAAGTATTTTGTGTTTAGATATCACAATACACATTTCATGACTTTGGTGTCACTATGGTTACAAATGAACCCTATAACAACTATAGGGATCTATTTCATTTTAACTCTAAAGCAATTTTGTGAGGTAGGCTGGGAAGGAGCATTTAAGACAAAATCATCAGCAACTTTCCACAACTGAGGCTTACCTTGATTCTGGGTTTCTCTTTGAGCCCAGATTCAAAGGCTTAAAATTTTCACTGCAACAATTGGGGAAGTGGGGGGGGGATTTCAGGAGCCTTAAAGCAGAAATGGATGTCCTAACCATCTGTGAGACTTAAAGCATCCAGTTTGACTCACAACCCCACTCTCAAACTCTTCCCAATGCCATGTATTATGGTTCCACCTACTCTGGGAAACCACATAACCACTTGCAGCACTGGGTCCTCATGTTTTATACTTCTTTTTTAAACTGTTGCAAAATCTCAGCTCTGAATTCCCATCTTGTATTTTTGGGTGGATCTAATTGACACTGGTATGCCTATCCTTAGACACAGATAGCCATCACAATGAATTTTGGCAACATCACAAGCATCATTCTTTGCTTCTCAGATTTAAATAGCACATTATACTGGGCATCAATACACAGTCTCGGAGTCTTGATTCCTTCATGTTTGATGCTAATGGTTCCAGAGAATCAGAGCCATTCCCTCTTGTTTGATGAGACTAAATGAAATGGCTGAAAAATGCCCCATCTGTTTGCAGTCAATCCTACTGCCCGAATAGAGGGGAATTATGTAGGACTGCACTATTCAGTTCTATTTTGGAATCAGCTTTATTTATCCCCATTATAAATATTTTATATATCTACAACAAATTAACATAAATACTCTGGAAACTATTGATCTGATGGAAACCATTTTGGGAACTTTTCCAGCTGAATAATAAGAAATTCTTTAAAACAATTTTTTTAGCTTAAGTTTAAAAATGTTTTGCATAACTTAATGTTTTATAAAGGGAGCATTAGAAAGAACAGGTTATTTTTTTCTTAAAAAGTATTAGCAAATCCCTCCCCCATGTTATATATTTACAATATATAACAGATAGATGGAAGTCTATTTTTACAAAGGGAAAGTATGAGTAAGGAGATTGCTCTAATGTTTATGTTTTGCAACAAGTTGTAATATATGCCTGCATTTCACAACTAGAAATACTGGGCAAGAATACTAATGCAATCTGCTGACATGAATCAAGTTTTGTTAATGTAAACATTATGATCCATGTACAACAGTTATTAAACCCTCATTTTTAGATGCATATATATATATATATATATATATATATATATATATATATATATATATATATATATATATATATATATATATATATATATATATATATATATATATATACTGAACTAGTTCATTAAATATTTTGATAGACAAATTAGTAATTCTTCCTAATGCTATCAGAAAAAAATATTTTTAAAATAAATAATTACGATTATTCAGTTCCTTGATATGAGACACCATTAGACTACCAAGGTAAGAGCTGACAACATTAATAATGTCACAGTAACAAAAGAAAGAACAGGGAAAATATTTTCAATCCTTAAAACAGAGTTTCTCAAACTTTTTTCCCCTGGAGAAATCCTTGAAATAATGTTCAGGCCTCAGGGAACTCCTGTATTAAAAATGGCAAAAAATACAAAAACTTAACAGTACAATTCACTTCTAACCTACTCACAACCCCTGTTTTACAATGGTTACAATAATAACAAAGCAGCAGGCGGCAGCTGAGTCACAGCGTGCAATAATTCCTACCACTGTGAATGCTAGTATTATATAGCATGCATAGTTCAACAAAAAATGTCAGTCATAATCTTGCATGGAACCCCTAGTGCCTTGAAAAAAAAAACCCACTTGTGAAAGGTTGCTGTAAAGTAACACCTTTATTTGTAAGAAGGATGAAGGGTATTATTTAGCTATTTCAGTCTGACTCAAGGTTGTTAAATCTTTTTCTAGGAAAGGATCCCTCTCATCAGTCTTTGGCAGGAAACATGTTTAGATGGACAAAGGGACAATAGCTGAGAGTAGCTGAGCTGAGGATCCTGGCAATACTAGCCTAGAAGTGCCAGTGACTAAGAATGGCCTATCTCTTAGAAGAGTGACAGGAGGGTTGACCTGAATCAGTCCCACCATTCAGCTTGCCTCCAGACCCCTCCTCAATCTTCTCAGGAAACAGTAATCAAGTAATTTAGATACCCCGGGAAAGGTGCATTGTTGTATATCATTTCTTCCAAAAACTGCCTAGTTTTTGGAGCAACTTTATATCTTCAGTGTTAGAGACAAAAGTAGTGAAAGGATGTTCATGCATTTTAAAAATATGTCAAATCTGACCAGTGTGCAGCTAATGGAGCGCATACACCAGGCATCAGGAGTTGAGGCCTGAAGAGGTATCTATTAATATTGTTTCCAAATGCATGAGTTGTGGAATGCAGTTATATTACTTTTTGACATAATTATTTTCTGTTATTAAAGTACAAGGCAATTCAATTTAATCTCAAAGATCTTCAAACATAAAGATCCTGAGCTTTTTCTAATGAGTTTATTTGGATCTGATAAAATAACATCTCCATTCAGTATTCATTAGGCTATTGACTGCCCTCAAAACTAAGACATTTTCACTATTTTTATATTATTTGACCTCTCATGAAATATATTGAAGACAACAGTATCTGTGGGTGAGCAGAATTTCTTCCTGCTAATGAGGACCTGTCTTGACTTCTCAGGTGGCCTCAGGAAAATAACCTGAATATCCTGTTATTCATACTCCTGAGAATTGGGGAAAAACTGAAAAGAATGAAATGTGGTTGGAGCTCTCATTTCCCAGAAGAAAAGAAACAACGGGAGAGGACATGCTTAGCTTGGAGAAAGCTTCTTTTTCAAACCCCCATATAAAAGGATCAGGTAATATAGAATAAGGAATATATTTTCTCCCAGGACAGCCTTCCTTGGAAAGAACTAGAACTAGATGAACAATCTGACCTACTGTAAAGCAGTTGGTTGCGTGCTGCAATTGTATAACAACATGTTCCTTTAACATGCAGGGTGTCTGTGGCTAATGAGGAGGAATCCTGCTGCCAAGTGGGTAAAAAGAACACTATGAAATGATCTTTAAACCCTGGCTGCCTTTAGGAAGACCTGTTAATTTTAAAATCCTTTGTATTCTTAAAAATTGTACTGTATTTGCAAATAATGCCAGCATGGTCTCATTTTCAGTTTTTATTCCTTGACTTTTTTTTTCAGCAGTGTGATGTCTACACAAACCAGCCTCTTATTATTAAATTCTGTCAAAAACACCGGCAATGTTTACAAGGAAGGCACATTATAAATATTGTCAGTGGAAGAAATTATTAAAACCCTAAGACTTTCCATCCTTTCTCTTTTTCAGCACAATCTGAAGACATAAAGCTATTTTTAAGTATATAAAAAGATGTAGGCATCTGCATACCTGGGCTTTTATCAAAATGTGCCCCTTGCCCAAAATACCTTTAATAAATAAAAAATGTAATACTGTAATAAATAAACTACTCATACAAAAGGGGTGGTGCTTTAGTGCCATACTATTTT